TGTGGAAGTTTGAGGTGTGGGGTGTGAGTGTTCGTGTGGGTGTGGGTTTGGGAGTGGGGGTGAGTGTCGGTACGGGTGTCAGTGTGCGTACCTGTGCAACCGATGTTTTAACGCACACCCACACCCACACCCACACACCCAGATTTTAATTGATCTTGGCTTTATTGATGACACGCAACTATTATTTACTGTAGATGGTTAAATACTGGAAGATGAGTTTAGTGAAAAGGTATCAAATGAAGATTATAATGTTGAAGAACTGTTAACAGCTACTATGGATATATAATAAACTATAAAATATAATTGTCTATGCTATTTTTTTTCTTACTCATGTTGTATATTGTGTTAATTATTCTTATTGTTATCTTGAATTTTCAATAAATCATAAGCTTTACAGAATCTATAGCTCTCTTTTAGTTAAGATTTTTTTCTGTTTTCAATAAATGAAAAGGTTTTAAAAAAATAAAAAGAGTTACATAATTTTAAGTTTAGTTTAACTGTTGGCGCTCTCTACAACTGAAAATATTTATATAAAATTTATTTTGATAGAATTAGAAAAATTGATGATAACTGTATTTGAAAGTTATAACTACGGTTGATAGTTATAACTAAATTAACTTTCTGACCAAAAAGTTAATCTGTTATAACTAAAAAGTTATAACTCGAATTATAAGTGAGGCAGTTTCCACTCCAGCAGTGGTGTGGGTGCGGGTGTAGGTATGATTGTATTCATTAATAGATACCCACACCCACAGTCACAGCCACACTCACATACCCACAGCCACAGCCATAGCCACACCTACACCTCACACCTACCCACACCTCAAACTTCCACACACCCGCATCCATACGCATTGTGTAGAAATTTTGTTCCTTTGTATCAAAAAAGTAAGTTCATATCATGCACCATTGCAGAGGTATCTGATCTGCAATGAGAGTACCATTTTTCATGGCGAATCCGTTATTTCCAAATTTATCACTTTCTGAAAATAAAAAAGAACGAGTTACTTGTGTCCTGTTGATCTGATTCCATAAAGAAAGATTGCTTTAATAATGTAACAGGCACTTAGTCGTACACACTTGTAAGATTCTCAATTATCCATTTGTTCACATTCGATTTTGAAACTTGAGAAAGAAAATTTTTATCGCTTCTAGAAAAATTACGTAGATCTTGATAGTAGGTATCTACTTTTTTAAACTGTTTCAGAATAATAGGTTTTATGGTTAGACGACGATCTATTTCTTTTTTATCGTGGATCAAACTAGTTATTAATTCTTGTTTTGGACGCCTAATCAACTTTTCGACTGTATCAGATGCATTGAAATTTGAATTGACTGGAACCGTTACATCTCTAACGTAGTCTTCACCCTTTTCCCAATCATCATGATCCGAAGTATCATCGATCAGACTTTTATTCTTAAATTGTATCCATTCTTCAAACAACCGAACATCAATTTTATTTATTAAAACGAGAATGTTGACCGATGTTTCTTGTAGAAGGTAATCGATCAACTCAATATTATGCTTTTGGTTAACATCTTCCAACGTAGACACTACGATAAATAGACTAGCTGTATGTAAAGTAATATTCAATAAATTCCTAGCCTGTTCTGTAGCATCGTCTTGTCCAGGATTATCGACAACATCAATCGTTAACTCTGATTTCGTGTGATTGTTTTCATCAAACGTAATTAGCGCTGAACATTGGAGCGACATTCGAGTGTTGAATGCATCAATATTACGTAGTTCTTCTAAATTTTGACCAGTTAAGTGATGGAATAAAGTTGATTTACCAGTTTGCGATTTTCCAGAAAGAACAAGTTTCGGTGGTTTTGTTAGCAATATTTCATGCATAGAATTCAATTGTAAACAAATTTGCATCATGCCAATCCAATTCCAACGATACTTATCGGGCATATCTTTCAATGGTTCCTCGATGTACATCTTTTTCCAGTACATGTCGCGTTCTTGTTCAGTTTTGACGTTTTTTATACGATGTAACTGTTTACATCCTGATAATTGACTGAAAATTTGCCACTCTGTTTTATTTTTATCGACATCTTCCTTCGCTGATTTTAATAATGCAATCGAAATTTCATTTAATGTTTTCCTCGCTCGATGTAGCCAAGTTTGAGTCAAGCCATATAAGAACATAAAAGGATACCCCAGTCCGTGAAGTACAACCTTCCAGGAATTTTTAAGAGAGAACGAAAGGGGCCGCATGTTCATCGCCCAATTTAGTTTGTCGCCGATCGAATATTTCTCTGCAAAGACTACTAAACGATTTAATTTGATTCTAACGAAAAAAGATACTGCCATTATACATTTCAGGATAATCCGAACAGTATCTATTTCCCGACAATTATGCAAGTATAGCAAATATGATCGTAGGTCAGAAAACTCGAGATGTAGAGGTATCAGTTCGTCTGTACGTGCTAGCAGAGTTTTGTTTTCAATTTTTGTTATTTTTTTGTCCGAAAATAGAAGTTCGATGGATAGAAGAGATGCAGAGTTGTCGGTAAAATCTGGCTGTGCTAAAGTGCGAATCGAAGTCAAGTCATCCTTTTCACAGAAGTGTAAAGCCAATGTAAGATCTAGTCTTCGAAGTAAGTATTCAGCTTTATTTCGAGTTGCACAATCATATTTTTTTCCATCAAGGTATACCGTATTCAAAGAAATTAATTCTTTTATCAGATATATATAAACCCCCATATCTGTTGTGGGCACTTCTGAATTTTCCCATTGCTTCATTGTACCTTCTGAATAATTCTTGCTTTGCACTTCTGCCAAATATCTTGCCATAATCTTATCACTTTCGTCGCAATCAATATGTTTGAAGGCATCAAAAAACTGCGAAAAACATCGCACTACTGGCGAGTCATTGTATTGATCACCAGAACTCGCATCTAAAACTAACTCATGATAAGAAAGTAATGCAGTTGATATCGGATCGAGATGTTCCATTCTCTGAAGTACTGAATTTTTTTCATTTGATAAAACAGTTACTTGAATATCAGTTACATTGAAGAATGTAGTAATTTCAATATTGAATGTCGAATGTTCTTTAAGAAACTCAATAGCCCTATCCGATCGACAAAATAAAATAGCTCGAGCGTCTGACTGTTCTTGTGGTATAATAGTTGCCTGCTCTCGCGATTCTTTCAATTCGACTAATGCGGTTGGTAATTTAACAGAACAAATGAAATCAATCAAAAATCCTTTCAAATATATATAATCTGGACATGAATCAGTTTTATTTCGTCTATAAACAACTGCCAATATGTTAAAGATTGACTTAGACAACGCATTACTAAAAGTAGAGCGTAGTAATTTCTGACTGGGCAACGTTCTATTACCAAGCCTTCGATTGGCTTCTTCATTAAACAATTGATTAATCGCAAATGGATAACAACCATGATCTGCAAAATCTCGATAGACGAATTTCAACGAACCACTGAACATCATTTCTTTTTCGATGAAATATTTATACCATTCTTTAGTTCCATATTTTAAATCCGTCATCAGTCTTTGTCTGTCCTCTTCCAATTCACCAATAGACTTAATCATGAGATTGGCTCGTTCATCTTTCATAATAAAATGATGCCGCCCAAATACATAATACTTTGGAAGGAGAATATCAACACCATTAATACAGATTTGTTCGAATGAAGAATCAGCAAGATTGCGACATTGATCATTATCAATGTATTGAATAACTTTTTTACTGTAATTAATGATCTGATTTGCAAATGCTTTAGCAACACTTGTTGCCGCTTCAGTTCCAAATGTAACCAACCGAAAAATAGCATCATTTTCGTAAATATAGGTATCGAAAATATCATACCATGCTGCATACTTCGACCAGAAATGATGGTCGGCACACTGTGGTGTCCCAAAAGTGATACATCTTAATACGACTCGATCAACAGTTAAACCAATTTCTACAAGAGAGTCAATCACTCGAGCAGTAAATAGTTGACTAACGGCACCGCCAAGCGAATGTCCGCTGATGATCACTTTCCAACCTTGCTGTAACCAATGGGCAACTGCTAAGGTTGGACCTGAATCGGCACGACTAGCAAAACCTGCATGTCGATCGCCCTCATAAACATCATGATTAGAATACAATCGAAGATCAGTAAATACATCTTGAATAGATTTGGATGAAACTGTAGCACGAAATATCAACAAAATTGTTCTATGCTGATCGTGACGACAGATCAAAAACGGATGTTGTTTATTTGGAGAGAATTCAGGATTTGAGAACATCAATACAAAGCGTTCCGGAAATAATGATTTACATTGCTCAAGTTTGTTTTCAACATAGGCGAATTTTTCATTCGGATCACATCCATCTTTTTCATACATATCATGAAGCCACCAAGATAAATTGATTAATAACCGCGTCCACATCTTTCCTTCAGCAGTTGAATGAAAGCTTTTCGATCGATCTAATAATGCGATATCTGGGAATCGCAAGGTTTCGTCTTGCATCTCGCTTTTTGACGGGAATGAAGTCATTATTAATTATGTTAAAACGATCTAAGCACCAAAACTTTCAATGCTCTAAATATGGGAAGACTTTTGGTTTTTGAGAGTATATTCATTTTATAGATGCTTAAAATTATGCGAGGACTCTGAAATAAATCTAGTTAAAAAAAAAAGCAAAAAAAAATTTGTAATGAGTGCAATCTATTGGTGTGAGAGGTCTTTGAGCGTGGGGATATGGGTTGATCGAAAATAATTGTACCCCAGCTTCCCCCACGTCCACACACTCACACCCATCCATGGATTCCATCTGCATTGATAAAAGTGCTGATGAGGATAAAAAATTACCTGATACAAAGTGATTCCATTAAAAGAACTCTAATATATTATTCTTTGCCTGTAGTGATTATTCGTATCTATGAACTGTAAATCCAGAAAAGCAGACTAATCATATTTCATTTTTCTCTAACAGTGAAAGAACCTCAGCTTTGATATTAATATACGAAAACAATATTAACTTATTCGCTATATACCGATATAACAACTGATCCATCTATGATTATCTAAAACAAGTAAAGGACGAGACACGTTAAGTCGTGAATCGACCCCCTCTAGAAATTGAGTTTTACATTTTTCCAAATAGTCAAAAGAGATGTCAAAAGTCGATTAATGTTCGAATTAACCAGTTAGCCTTAGTTATAGCTGTTCACAGATGGTCTAAAATATTAATATTATCTATTACCGGTTCAGTTGTGGTACTCTCTAAAAAAAACCGTTTCCAAGAAAACCCAAACCGGTTCGGAAACCCTCTCGGAAACCTCGGAAACCCTCAAGTTTCCTACAATAACTAATCCGATGCCATTAAGGTATTCTGTCGTACCTTTTTCTTAATGTCGGAAACCTAACCGTATTCTCAGAAACCGTTAGGATATTGTAGGAAACTAATATTGCCACAAAAACTAAGTTGGTATCCGAATGGGTATGTGAGAATACCTTTCCGGTTTCCGACCATACTGAATGTCAAAAACTATACTGGAGAACCGAAATCAGTTTCCGAGTTCTTTTTGACCTTGTAAAAGGGTTCAAAACTTTTAAAAGTTTTCACACTGCTTCACAAAAGTACCCTGATTCGAATTCAGCAAGTCTCAGAGGAACAATTTAGGTGCTCAAATTTTCGTTTTTGATCGTCGTTTTCACGCAATTTTAGATATTTTTAATTTTATGGAAACTGTTTATTCACTTTTTATGACTTGCTTGAGTGTGGATCATTCTTTTATTCATCAATTTTAAAAATCTGAAACAATTTCAATCTTTCGAAGTAATATAATATTTTCTTGAAATTGTTGATTCAACCTCAATGTTGAATATTCGAGGATAAATAGTATATTAACATTTTGGAAACAATTAATTATTACTATTGAAAAATTTATGCTATTCTTGCTTTCAGCAATATGTGTGTATTGTGGGGTGTGAGTGTGGGTGTTGGTGTGCTGTTCTCTGCAACACCCACACCCACACCCACACCCTCTGTAAATGTAATGATCACATAGATACTTTTTCAATAACAGGGCTGACCCGATCCGCGGGGGTTCGGTGTGTGACCCCACCAATAATTGTAATTTTCTTGATTTCAATTAATAATAAAATCGTTTACAAATAGATTTGGTCAATACTTAACATCCACAGAAAGAAGTAGTTGGCAAGAAGACATGCTACTTGGGATTCATTAAATCATCTCTTTTCCCTCTCCGTCTATTAATTTTCGCAGTTGCATAGTAACGATTGATCTTATTTGACTATGGTGATGACTGTTCTGTTTCGGCTATGGCCTTTACCGTCTTATTTTAAAAAAAGAACGGCTTATTACCACTTATGGAGAGATATAAATCCATTACAGGTCCTGGAGAGCACTATCATATCAAAGATACGAAACCCGTAGCCAATGTCATAACTCTATATTATTTCTTATAATTATTGTTGTATGTTAGAAGAGAATTAAATGCTACATTCGGCAATTTTTATCGGCTAGTGAAAAGCAAAAGCTGAGAGAGCATATTGATTTGTCTCTCACGAGGGAACCGTTCGAAGTGATTCAAAGCTTTTAAGCCGATATTTTGCCCATAAGTAGAGTCCAATGAGATTAGAAAAAGCCCAAAAGGACAAGGGCCCATGGGCCTTTCTTCTCGA